GGCAACTGACTCATATTTATGACGGTTGCAGTGTCCCAGGGTCATATAATCCCCTTTTGTGACCTTCTGACAAGCAAAATCAGGGGAAGCCTGATTCACTCAACAATTGTATTACTAATCTAACAGGTTCAGTGATTCAATTGACTAATGCGACAAGAAAGGTAATAAAATGGAGCAAAACTCATTTAACAAATGTCTCAAGTCACAACAAATATTTTGGGTTGTAAGTCGAGGACTACCTGTACATTTCTTCCTGATAGGGCATTTCATACCTATTGTGGCTAAACATTGTCACCATAGAGGGAAGCTCACAAGTACAAAAGTCTATGCTTATGAGTTCCAGTTTTGGGAGGAGGGAGGAATTGTCCCATGCACATCGCTTTAGTCTTGTTTCCACTCAATAACATTTACTACATAGTATGTCCATTGGGGAGGTCATATCTATCCATTCTTAAAGTAATTTGATGTGCTTAGCAAAAAGGGGCAATTTACTATTCACTTCTAACTTCAGATAATTTATGGTCAATTGCAGTCAACAGGCCAGAATCAAGAGTCTAAAAAAGTTGTGCATATAGAAGAGGGAAAAAAATAGATCAGGATGTAGCAGGAAAAGGAAAACCATATGATACTTAAGAAGAAACCACAGTGCCCACTGCCCATCCACGATTAAGTAACAGAACAAGCAAGCTGAGTTGTAGAAATATGAAATATTATATAATCTAATAATGAAGGAAACTTACCAAAACTTCACATGGTGTGATGGAATTGTCTGTGTAAATGCAAAGTTTCTGTACACTTAAAGGCATGGTCTCTCGCAACTTGGAAGCCAAAAGCATGCAGACAGCTCCCAGGAGTTGCAAGTGGTTTTTGCGGGTGGGGACACAGGACAAGTAGCGATCCACATAATTCATGGCCAAAGGAAACACCTCTTCTTCACATTTTTGCTCCTCACAAACCTGATTTAAAAAAAACCCAGTAACAATGGGAAAATTTTTTATAAATAGGGACCACCTACCATAAATAAAATAAATTCTTCAAAAATAGTCCTTATCAAAGCACTTTTTGTAAATATGAAGGAACATATGAGTTAATATGTAGAATAGGGGATGTGAAAATGTGTTCTCTGTTTTTGCTTCTAGATCCTGCTGCACAGTTGATTAGGTCAAATCTGCATTACAGAATCAGTATTTCGTTTTTAAAAGTGTGGCCTGATGCATCATGTGCAATTAATTAAGATCCTAAATACTCAAAAGCATCTCACTTTCCTAATTTCATCTACTACAGAACATTAAACCCCTTTATATCTCATGCCAATAAAAATACCAGTGAAATAAATGGCACTTCCCTGGAAGAAACCATATGACAACATTAATCAATAATTTAAAAAGCCTATTTCCCCATTTTCTCCATTAATTAGGCTAGTTATATATATTGATTTATTACTACACCAACTGAATCTTTTAAACTGACTTAACAATTAAACTGTGACTGTAGCCCTTTTAACAAAAACTCATTTTTTTACTGTATGACTTTCCCATATACTGTAGGAATTGGTGCTTTTTAAAATGGATGAATTTAGCTTTCCTGTTCAAGATACTGGTTTCTGTCTCAACAGCTTAAAGCCATATAAATGAATTTAAATTCACAATCACTCCTAGTCTATCTACACAGGGATGCTTCCATTTATGACATGCCTAAGGTATAATGGGTGGAGAAATTCAAATCTCTCTTCCATTCTGGGCTCCTTTGTTTTCCCCAAAAGCAATTCTTACTTACAGTATTACAGATGATCAGGAAAGTAAGATTTTAAGACTCTGAATTTAATAACCCAAATTAATGGAATTGCAGAAAATGGTGAGTGCTTTGGTATCTTGCAAATGAAGATAGTAAAAATATATTATCAATAAGTCAGACATATAAAAGTTAAGAGTCCCATTCTAGACTACAAATCCCTTTAATTCAGAATCCTGTTTCCAGCAGGAAGAAGTTAACAAATAAAACTGTTTCCCCCTTACTTCACTTAGAAAAAAGCTCTACCTAATTTATTTATGCTTACTGTACAATTATCTAAAGCAATTTATTTATAAAATAAGGCAAGATTATTCTACTTTGACTTACAACTTTCTTTTTCTGGTAGAGAAGGGATTGGTGGTTAAAATTTGTCCTTTACTAGTTGGTTATTTATTTCTCCCATCTTCATCTCTGGTATTTTAGTTGTGGAAAACTGCAGATTCTAAACTGTGCTTCGATTAGTCCCTGAACGTTGTGCACAAGCAGGGCTAGTGACCGGGACCCCCTAGAGGTTGCACGACTTACTGCCAAGAAAAGGTGAACGTTTCTGGAATAAGAATCTTCCCCTTGGCTTAGCACCATCAGGGTGGTTTTTTTTTAATCAACCCAAATCGAGGGGGCGAAAACCGAGGGGCTTGGAAGCCTCATTTACTTTTTCAATCCCCACCCCAAGGCTTGCTGTTTATTCGATTCCTTCACCCTCGAACGCAAATACTCCCCCACCACCTTCGGTCGTCCTCTCTGCAAAAAGTTTTCCCCAAAAATGCCTGAATCTGGATCCCTCCCGCCACTACCATTAGACTCAGCTTTCCCGCTCCATCCAGGCTCCTAACCCAAGGCCTCACTTCTTTCTAGGAAAACTTCTCCGGATTCCGGAGAAACCAGATTCCAGGAAATGAACGGAGGAAAACGTGCCATAAAGTCGCATACTATACCTCATACTTGCCCGAAGATTATAGGTGCCACTGAAACTAACCAGGCTTCCTTCCGAGCGGTTGGAAAAGAAGGGGAAACCCCCACCCCCCATTTTATAAGGCGACCTAAAAAGTAAGCCGGGCTGAGCCCACAAGAAGAGAGGGTGAGCGAGCGAGCGAGCGACCGACCCCTCCCGGCACAAACCTCCAACATCCAGAACGCCAACATCTTCCGCATGTACGGCTGGATCTCCTTCTGCACGCACTGGAAGTAGGAAACGCGAAGGCAGCAGCGCTCTTCCTGGCTGAGCAGATTCTGCAGGACCCGCCGGTCCCTTAATAGCTGCGGATCCCGCTTGGCCCGGATCACCCCCTCCACACACAGCAGCTCCATGTGCGCGAATTCGGAGACGGGACGGAGCGATGGAAAAGAAGGGAGCCGAGGCTGCGAGCGGGGAGCCGGAGGCCACGAGGAAGGGAGAGGAGGGACTCTTCGGCAGTCTCCGCCCGAGCGCGGCGGGCTGGATCCAGCGGCGGCGACCCGGCGAGCCCAGCCAAGAAGCCTCCCCTCCCCCTGCGAGGTACCTCCAACCTCCCGGCAGCACTGACACCAATGAATGTACGGCCACGGCTCCTTCGGAGAGGCGGAGTCGGCCTCTAACCCACCTTCTTCTGACGGCCGCCCCTTTCTAGGCCACGCGAAAGATTTGCCAACATAGGGGCGGGGGGTCGTCCTTTTTCTCCACCCCGAGGAAATTATTTTACCAAGGGCCAGAACGTTCTTTGCAGCAGGGGCGCTGGCGGACGGATTCGTCCCGTTTTCGGGCCATTACTTCAGGATCTTTGCCTATTCCGGCCGCTCCAACAAGGAAAGGAAGTGAAGCGAGAAGATCCTGCAGCGCGACGCTTTGCAGGTTGCCTGCCTTGCACTGGCACGTATGAATCTGGGTTCTGCGTCCTTGCAAAGCAGGGCATCAGCGCTAAAGGAACCCTCGGTATTCCGACGGTGGCTGCAGTTCTCTCAAAAGATGGCATGTGCCACAAGTAGGGTTATTAGAACTGCCTGGTGTCTCACAACAATATACCCCCATCACCAGTCCTTGGCGTAATATCCCGATTGCTGCAAACTAAGGAATTACCTGTGACATTTTGACTCCTCCCTCGCACCCAGTGACTAACATGTCCACTGATAAGATGCCCTAGTCCAAAATTTCAGGACAAAGAGGGCAGCGATCCGTTCAAGGCCATCGCTGCCCCCTCTTCCAACTTCCTCTCCTCAGGAAGGACAGATACTGATTTACATTTCTAAACCATGGACAGTACAGGATGGCAGCAGAATTAGGGCTTTTGTATGTTTTTGCTGCTATGAAATGGTTGTCTGAATTTTTGCACTCCATATCGGATACCTCTGACACCCGATTTTCTTTATAGACACATTCACACTCATCTCAAGGCTGCTGGCCAAAATGGACAACTATTTTGCTGTCCCATCCCTCATTATTATTATTTTCTGCAGAAATTGTTTCTGCCAAGAACAATCCCCCAACAATGGGGGCTTTCCCATTCTTTTACCTGCATTAATGCTTATTTAACTAAACAAGCCAAGACATTTCTGAAAACCTGAAACACAGAGCAACAACTGGGATTTACAGCAAAAGATTGTAGTGTTCACATTTATAGTCACTGTCTTCCATTCCTCCCCTTTCTTTTCCCCTTATTTAAATATTACTGCAGCCAACTCATTCTTCTGTGAATTTTAGGGGAATCACCTCTGAGAACATATTGATTTTCTTTTCTTTTTTTCTTGGAGTTCAGAATATACTTTTCCTTTTGTGGATACAGTAGATGGATGATACTGTCTTGACATAATAATTATCACTACAAAATCAGAAATTCCTGTGGGGAACCCAGGCTGCAGAATGAAACCATTAGTGTTGCACGTGCCATAATTTCATAGTCATGGTCATATTGCAATACTATCTTTGTGCCAATAAAGAAGAATATTTGTAGCTCAGGGTTGAAAATGGGTCCTTGGTGCTCTGTGAGCTTGATGATGTTACCTAGTTTGGATAATGAAATGTCTGCAAGAAAACAACCAAAGCACCAAGGACCCCTCAATACAGCATTATCTTTGCTTGCTGTAGCTTATTTTTTATCATTTGAAGGCTACAAGAAACTTTTAAATGACAATCCCATAGCTAAATCTTTCTTGTGGTGAAAATATAAAATGAGTGACTGCCTCTTATCTAGCACCTATACCAGCAAAATATTAAGATTAGCTTGATGAAAATGGCCATTTCACAGATTTTGCCCAATTGGGTGGTCGAAGGAACACTTGTTCAGCAAAGGAGCTGATAAACAATTCTGTTTTTGACCAAAAGGAGGGGAGGGAGGGAGGAAGGGAAGGAGGAAGGGGGAGAGAGAGAGAGAGAAAGAGAAAGAGAGAGAGAAAAAGATCCCTTGACAAAGGGCTTTTAAGTCATGGAAGAGCTATCATAAACAAGTTCCCTGCTAGATCAGAGCAAGTATTCCACTCTGTTAACGGTCAACCTGCAACCTATTCATGTCCTCTTGCTCATCATCACCAGCAACTGCTATTTAGACATTTCTAACTCCAGTATAAAACCTTCAACCTAAGTGATCATTTATGAGTGTCATCCATACATTTGACTGATTTCTGTCCAAGTTGCTTTGCCATGAACACTTTCACATGAGGACTCTGCCAGTTCAAAACCAACTCAACTCTTTGTCATCCTAGGAGGACTACAGTTGAGTTAACTGGATTTATATCTGTCTCTGTTCCAGTGTTTTAAAAATTGGAGTAAAGTTAGCTTTTAAAAAAGCACAAGGAACACAGCATAGGGGCAGCCTCTTTCCCCATTTTCAGGAATCTTGGCCTTGCCATGTCCTGCCTCTTGACTTCAGTGCTCCTTTGACAGGGAAATGATGACTTGATGTCAACCATATAAATGCACAAAGTAGATCTGCACAGGTGTATTGGCAATTAATTTTCTTTTCTTTTTGTATGGAGTTAATGTGAGAGATTTGTGGTACTGCCAGACTTATAGCAATCCAGAGGAGTGTCAGTGATTTTTGTTCCTTCCAAAATTGGGATGTAGATCTCTTAAACAACTTTTGACAGATAGGAAAGGAGGAAGTATTGCCAATATGTTACAGTGCCATGCAGTACTTTTTCCAGTGCTCTTTTTTTAAAAATGAGGTGAATCAATGCCATGAAAGAAATACTTGTAATAAAAGTATGGTGAAATTACTGCAAACATCAACAATAATAAACTGGATTATAGCATTAAGATATAAATCCATCAGTTCAAGTGTTCTGTGTCACAAAGAGAAGATTTTTATATCAATCTCATATCCAAGACTCCAATATCATACCTTTTCCTTGAGTTTCAGAAAATCTTCCAATCTCAATGGTGGTGTAATATATGAAAAAAATGTTGCCTTCAGTAAAATAAACCAACTAATGGAATTTAAACTACAATTAAGTGTGTGTGTGTTCCTTGCGTCATTTGCTTTGTGAAAAGGATTCAAGTTATACATTTTCTGTGAAAATATACCCAGGCTATCTTATTAGCCAAACATTGGGAAAGCAGAAAGCTGAATCTTTGTCTCTTAACGTTTTCTGGATTCAGTATTTTGAAACTAAGGATTCAAGCTACCCATTATACACAATCATCTTCCAACTCGGGTTGACTTTAACAGATCCTGGAATATTCTGAAACTAAACCTAAAAACACTTAAGGGAAGAGAAAGGAGGGGGAAAGAAAGAAGTTGTTGCAAAACAGGCAGTTCTGCCTCCAGATCATGACTTTGCAAAACCCAAGATACCCAAAGATACATTATCAGACCCAAATGGCAAGTTAAAGGCACCAGCAGCTTCCAAAACTGCACCGAATAGCACTTTGGGGAAGAAGAAAACGAGGTGAGGGGACATGTTCAACAGGGATGAAAGATAGACAGTGCCTTGCTTTTCTGGCACAAATTTGCCAAACTTAGCAATTTGCAAAGGAAATTGCCATACAATTCCTTTGCCTTATAGTACATGATGGTAACTGGAGATCTTGTTAAAAATCATAACACAGAGATGGCTACAAATTCACAAACAATAATATTGTAATATATTATACATATTATATTGGCCCCTCAGAGTAACCTACTTCAGAGGGTGGTTGTTGTGAGGGAGAAGAGAATGGAACACTGCCTATGCCACCCTGAACTTCTGTAAAAAAAAAAAAAAGGCAAGATGTACATCTAATAAACAAAGTAAAAAAAATAAGGGTGTGATTCAAATGATGGTAATCAACCTGGGGTATAGCCAGTCCCGCTATGTAAAAAAAGAAACCATGGAATCAAATCCACACAAAAGATTTAGAATATATTTTTATTGACTATAGTAACACAATCTTGCAACGTGACTATGCTTTATTTTCCTACCTTTCAGCTCTATGTGAATTACAAAGGTGTCTGCCTGAGTCTAGTGCGCATATCTTCTTCTAATTTTTGGCTTAAACCACCTTTTTGCATTTGTTGCTTTAATAATGGATCTGGCCTGTGGCCTCTTTCTTACTTTTTACAGTACACATATGTGCCTCTCAATTGCTGAAGTAGAATTACCAACATAGAATTAGTCAACCCATTAGCAATATGGGTTGAGTCTGCTGGTAGTTGTAGTTTAGAACAGTGGTCCCCAACCCCCGGTCCGCGGACCAATGCCGGGCCGTGGAGTACCTGGCACCGGGCCGCGCAG